TTGCTCCTGTTTTTATTAGTCAAGATAATTTACTGCTCCAAATCAGCATCCAAGCCTGCAAAGATCCATTTTAACAATGCTGTTTATTTGTAAGAAGTTATTAAATAATTCCTCAAAAATTCTAATGCATTATTAAGGCAGTTAATGGAATGATGCATAGTTTTTTTTTTCCTGCTAAAACTTTTTATCCCTCAGATAGAATTTTAGAGTGTTTTTATAACCCAGCTTGAAGTGAAATTGAATTGTATGAAATGACTGATTGTCAAGGACATTTGAACAAATGAGGTATTCATTTTATTCAGAATCCATTGAAGGATTTCTTGATGTTTTTATTTAATTTGCTTCATATCAAGGAGCTAAGTTACCCCTAGAGACACATCATGAAAGAAATAAAATATTAATAAAAGCCCAGGAAGTTCATACATTCTTGCAGAGTTTGACTGAAAGCCTTAATACTATTCACTCTCTTCCCTGTAGATAAATAGAGACAAATGTTGCCACAGGAGTATTTTTTTAATCACAACCTGTCCAGTCACCTTGTTGCAGGTACTGTTTATATATAAAATTCTGAGAACAATGGTAAATATATCAAGGTGAATATATTTTAATTAATCATCCCTGTGTCCAGAGAATTCAGAATAGAGAGTGCAGATTTAGATTTAATATTAGGAAGGAATTCTTGACTGTGAGAGTGGTGAGACACTGGAACAGGTTGTCCAGGGTAGTTGTGGCTGTTCTGTCCCTGAAAGCATTCAAAGCCAGGTCGGATGGGGCTTTGAGAAACCTGATGTAGTGGGGGGTGTCCCTGCCCATGCAGGGGTGTTGGAGCTAGATAATCTTCAAGGTCCCTTCCAACCCAAACCATTCTGTTATTCTATGATACAAAGAGTTTTATTTATATAGTGCCCTTTGTAAAAGCTGTTTACAACCACAAGTTCTTCTTGTGTTTCTGACAAACATGCTGAGAAGGATGTAATGCCAACCATTAGAACTTAAAAGATTTTTAAACTTGAGCAAGTATTTGAAAAGTAGAAAGTGATTAAATTAATTTTAGAATCAAAAAGCTTAAAAAGTCATTTGAAATCACATAACAGAACTCCATGGCATAGTGTCAAGAACATTTTCAGGTACTTGGGTATTTGTTTTAATGCCATTCTTAATTTCTGACTTCCCTATTAGACTCCATCCTCAGCTATTTCTTTCTCAACAAATTCTCTAATTCTGCTTAACTTTAATGAGCACTTTTTTTCAGCAGCTATATTATCCCATATTTTGTACTATTATCTATCTATCTATCTATCTATCTATCTATCTATCTATCTATCTATCTATCTATCTGTCATCACCTTTTACTATTTGTCAATGGACAAGTCAATATAACCTAAAGCAATTTTAATAAAAAAGAAGAAAAGTACAGTACCATTAACAGAATATTTTAATTATGATCCCATATAGGCTTTTTGTTGCATTCTGAGGAGGAGGTAGACCAAGGCAGATGTCCTAAATAATACATGATTTAGTAAACAGAATTTTCCTGAATATTTTTTCTAGGTAGGTTTATGGAGGCCACAAGGTTTGGTAGAAAGTCTGAATCACTTCACTGAGAAACTTGCTCAGTCATACAGGAAAAGCAAGCAATTTACTAAGAAATAATGAAGAAGTCCATTACAATAAAAGGGCTTTTCCAAAATCCCAACAGATAAACATGAAGGAACAGAAGACTGGTAGAAATTTGTGCATATGAAAAAATGAAGCGGGAAGGTTCTGAGGAGCAATTAATCTATGTGTGAGTGCTCTGCCACTACTCCAGTGGCTCCTAAGGTTGGGTTAGGACAGCTGTATGACAGACACTGTGAAATCCAAATTTACTTGAGGCTGGTATATACTACCCACTTGACATTTAAGAAAATCTGTGCAGTTTTCCTTCCCAGATTTTGTTTCTCAGCTCAATGATGTACACTGCTGCATTTTATCCTTATTTATTCTCCCAATTTCTTTTCCTGTATTGTGTTCCTATGTACTGTATGATACGGATAATAAATCTGTTGATTTTCTGCACAAAACTGGAAACCAATAAAAGCATAAAGAAATGTCATAAAAAAGTATGAGACCAAAATATGAGTAATAAACATCACAATACATTTTTATCTTTCTTTGTGAAAGTTCAAACTTATTAAAAGACAGTAAATGGGTTTTTTCATTTTCAAAGTTTGATACTGACAAGATCAGGTTATGTTAATTCAGTAAAGCTAACCACCTCAAACTCAATAATTAGCATAGGTATTAAACCAGGAAATGAAAATAGGAAATGATACAATAAAGCACACAGCTTTTTGCTACAGGGGCTGTATGCTGTGAGGACAGAAATTTAAACTTGTTACAAGGAATAAAGATTAACTTAATTCAGTTCTCATCCATGAACACTTGTTGTTTTTTTTTTCTTACTCTGTTAAAGTAATCTGTGTTTAAGTCCAGATTTTGTAATATTCAGCAGCACAGGACTAGTCTAAGTTATAGAAAAAGCTGTCAGCAAGGCAAAAGCCTTAGAGTGTGTCTCACTCTCTCTCTGTCTCTCTCTGATTTATGTAAGTATGGATTTACACATGCTGAATTGCTGAAAAGTCCTTCTGAAGAGCTAGAAAGCATCATTAAATGTGGAATAACTTGGGAAAAAATAATATATAGGCTCTTATGGAATAATTAATTCTTATTTTCAAAAATAACATTATTTTGACAGAAAGGAAAACTAAAAAGAAATTATAATGTAATAAATATTAATCTTTTTGCTGCAAGAGCTGTGTTGCAAAAGCTCTGTGGGCAGATATTCCAACAGAATCAGACTTACATATCATTTACACTGAAATACCACACTGCTCCATAGGAAATATTACTGGAAGATGTTGGAGGTTTTTTATTATTTTTGGAAAAAATCCTAAGTCACTTATTGATAATAAGATTTAGGTACTTACTTCCAGAAAAATTACTGCAATTAAATGCCTTAATGAAATTCAAAACTACCTGGGTAATTACCACTATAATCAAATTATAGTGTTCTTGGTGGTACTTAGTGTATTGAATTTGAGTCTGGAAGTTTAGCAGGTCCTTAGTACAGCAACAGTTAAAGTTTTAAGCACCATTCACCACTGTTCACTTACCTAACCATGTGTGCCTTGTGTTATCTGAGTGCATGAATACATATTTCCTGGCATCCAGCTGCTGGACTGTAAGCTCCGTGAGATATTTGCCAGTCCCCTGTGGATGTCTCAGATACCTGAAAGCATCCCGGTGGGGCAGTGGTCACCTGTGTTTAGGCTAATGAACCAAGCTCTAAAGAAACAGCCATTGCTGAGAGAGAAGATCTGCTTCTCTCTGTCAGTGACAGAGCACCAGAATAGCAAGCAAGGGGTTCTAAGGAAAATACATTAGGAGATGTCAGATTGTGCCTCAGCATTTGGAAGCCTAAATTTTTCCACAACTGTTAAATGTTTTTAAATAAACTGTCTCCTTGACCACCTTTCCTTTGCTTATTGCTACAATAAAAGCATGTATATAGAATCATAGAATCACAGAACTATTCAGATTGGAAAAGACCCTTGAGATCACTGAGTTCCACCATCATCCCTACTTTACAAAGTTCTCCACCAAACCATATCCACCAACACCACATTCAAACGACCCTTAAACACATCCAGGGATGGTGACTCAACCACCTCCCTGGGCAGCCTATTCCAGTGTCTAACCACTCTCTCTGTGAAAAAAAATAAATCCTAATATCTAGTCTAAACCTACCCTGTTGCAGCTTGAAGCCATTCCCTCTTTTTCTGTCCCTAATTACCTATGAAAAGACACCAGCACTAACCTCTCTACAATGACCTTTCAGGTGGTTCTAGAGACTGATGAGGTCTCCCCTCAGCCTCCTCTTCCTCAGACTAAATATTCCCAGCTCCTTCAAGCATTCTTCATAAGATTTATTCTCTTGGCCCTTCATCAGCTTCATTGCCTTCCTCTGTACTTGCTCCAGCACCTTGATGACAATCACCTCTCTACTGCTGGTCACACTATTCTAATACAAGCCAGGATGCCATTGGCTTTCTTGGGCACCTGGGCACACTGCTGGCTCATATTCAGCTGCTTGTCAGTTAGAACACCCAGGTCCTTTTCTGCCAGACACTTTCTAGCCACACTTCCCCAAGCCTGTAGTATTGCCTAGAGTTGCTGTGGCCTAAGTGCAGGACCAGGCACTTGGCCTTGTTGAAGCCCACACCATTAACATTAACCCAACGATCTAATCTATCCAAGTCTCTCTGTAAAGTCTCCCTACCCTCATGCAGATCAACACTCCCGCCTAGCTTGGTGTCATCTGCAGACTTACTGATAACACACTCTATGTCCTTATCAAGATGATCAATAAAGATGTCAAACAGAAATGGTCCCAAAACTGAGCCCTAAGGAACAGCAGTTGTGACTGGCCTCACCTGGATTTGACTCCACTGACCACCACTCTTTGGGCCCAACTGTCCAGCCAGTGCTTGATCCAACAGATCATATACTCATACAGGCCATCAACAGCCAGGGTTTTTTTATGCGAGTTCTATGGGGAACCATGTCAAATTCTTTTTGGATGTCCAGATAGACAATATTCACAGCCTTTCCCTTGTCCAATAGTTGGGTCATCAGGTCACAAAAGGAGATCAGGTTCGTCAGGCAGGACTTGCCTTTCATAAACCCATGCTGACTGGGCCTGATCCCCTGGTTGTCCTCAATGTGTCTTCTAATGACACTCAATATGATCTGCTCCATGACCTTCCCTGGTACTGAGGTCAGACTGACAGGTTTATAGTTTCCTGTATCCTCCTTTCTGACTTTCTTATACATGGGTGTTACATTTGCTACCCTCTTATACTGAAAAACAATAAAATAATGATTCTTAAATCAACTGGAGTACTTTTGGCTTAGTATTTTTGCTTTTATATGGTACCCAGAAAAAGTGTATTTCTTACCATCATTTCTTAGTGTCAGAGGAGTAGGAGGACTCAAAACTCTGGCATTTGTCACTGTGTTTTTTACCAGGCATATGTAGCTGCCAACATCAGATGTTTGCACCTTGGAGATGTAGAGATTTCCTGTCTCCTGAGAGATGAAGCGTCTGCTATCTTCTGCCACAAAAGACGGGAATTCATTAAAAACCCAGCTATAGATGATCTCTGAAATCAAACAGGAGAAAAAAAATAAGAGAAAGCAATGATGAGAACAATATTTTGTTATGGTAATGGATTCAGTTGATGCTGTTCATTAACTTTAAATAATATAGAAAATGCCTCACAAAAGCTAAAGGCTTTTAAAACTTTTTGTTTTAGAACTGAAGAGATATTTTTTTTCTCTCCTTGGACTTTTGAAAATAGTGTAAACATCGATTCCACAAGTTCCCTGGGAAAGCGTATTTAATTCCACAAAAAATATTTATATATAATTAAATTGTTCAATATACTCAGAAAACACTCATAAAATATTAGACAATGTCCTTTTCTTGTCTTTAAGGTCAAGCCAAAAATAATATACAAAGCATTCTTTTATCTACTTCTTAATATTTGCAGTGAGATATAATAAGATGCTTCCTGTAGAGCTAGAGATGACTTCTGCAAGTGTATGTATAAACAGGTTTTATTCTCAACATCTATTTTTAAAAACTGTATATTCTAACAACTAATTCTAATAATAATTTTAATAATATTCAACCTACCTTGCAGGTAGTATTACTGCACTACAGTTCAATCTTCTTCTACATCTGTTTCTGAGTCTTAGAACCCTTCCCATATGCATCTTAAATGGCTATGATAAATGAATAATTCCTTAAGCCAAATCTACCAGCTAATATGCCTCATAATCTGTTGGATCAAAGACTAATCAAAATTATTTTTTAAAATGCTAATTAAAGGCAGTGTCTTGGTTCTTATTTTTTATACAGGAATCTCACTGTGTACCTGGAAAATATACACTTTTCCATTTGTACTAATAATAATTGATTGAGAAATAAGATTATTTTCTATTATTCTCTATGATATCTTAATGTATTAAAAGCATAGATGGCTTAATATGTCTGTGCTAGAAATGTCAGTAAAGTTAATGAGATTCTGATTGAGCAGGGAATTACTTGCAGGGAATTAGTCATGTGGAGTTTCACCAATTCAGATTTTTAAACCTTAACTTGTATACTTTTTATATCTTGTTATCCTTTCAATTGTATCTTACACAGTCTCATTTTGTCTTCACACTAAAAAAATAAAATAAAATTCTTCACAACTTAAACTATCACATTAGTTATGGGACAATTTCTTCTGCAATCTACTTCCATAATAGTCTTTAAAGAACTGACTCCAGAGTCAGCAAAGCCAAGCCAAGACTTATTCAGATATATAACATCCCTATCACTACTCCAAGCTGCAAACTGCTCCCTTATAGGGACCAAGATCCAATTCTGTAGACTCAAATTTCTTAGGTGACTACTCTTGCCTTTAGAGCAATATGAAGACAATAACTGCATGTATGTCAGTCTAGTTCCCTCACAGTTTTATCTCCACTACAAGTCAAAAAGTTTTCTTGATGTAGTAAGCTGGAGAAGGACGGGATAGAAAGGGTGAGAGGAAATGCTTCAAAATTTAAATCTTTCTTGGTGCTTTTCTGCTGATTCTAGGAGAGGAAATGGTATAGCTGCTCATGGTAACTGTGAAACACATCAACATCCCAGCTAAATATACAGCACAGCCAGGTGTGCAGTTTAACAGTATGGAACCCATCAGACCTGGCTGTGTGCAGTTTAACAGTATGGAACCCATCAGAAATTCTGACTCATCTGTCCTTTCCATCCTTGTGTTGTACCATTCCTTGACACAGTGGTTAGAAAAGAATGCAAAGGCACAATGACTTTTTTTAATCAGTAAAATCCAAGGGAGCATGCAAGGTGTAGAGATGCAGGATGTTCTGGATTAATTTTGAAGAAGTTCAGTCTACTTTTGAAGTCACATGATGATTTTCTTATGAAATGGTATTAGTAAATAAATGTGATGTTAAAGGACTAAAACTATTTACCTGCCAGCAGGGAAAGACTTCTCCAAAACAGGGAATTAAGCTGCACACAGCAACTTATTGCTTAAAATATTTTTCAGATCTAATTGTAATTCTGAGTGTTTACACAAGACCCTTCAGGATTCAGGGCTCACTGAAAGGTCTCAGAGCATTCAAAATTCCTTTCCTATTCTATTATGTTTTAGGCAAAATACTAATAAGTCTAAATATTTTTTTCTGAAAATTTCATTGCCACATTTTGCTATGATGTCTTATCTGGCAGAAATTATTCATGGCAGCATAAAATTCTATAAAGGGATGATGAACATGTAAGTTCAAGGAAAACACATAGGCTTTAATTGAAGACACCTGTTACCAATTCAAATGGAAAGCAATCAGTCTCACTAATTTCTCTGGCTTAAAAGTAGTTCAAAGCAAACATAAAACAGTCACTACTGGTAGTTCATGTAGAATAGAATTTTATCCATTTGTACCCTAAAAACACATGCAGTGAATTATTTATTAACTAGAACTACTCCTGAGGAATAAATCTCAAGCAATAAATTTTTGTGCCTCTAAGGAAACATAATACTTAGTCCTGCTGGTGCTGATTCTGGAGGGTGGGGGACTACTGTCTTTCTATCACCTTCTAAATTATTTTTGTTGTAAAAAATGGAGTAATATAGAATTGGTACTGATAAAAAAAAAATAGAACTTTTGTCAAATCTAAAACTCAAATAATTTATGATATTAAGCTGTAATTAATGTGTTTATTTGTGCATCTGTATCCCAGCCAGAAGTCCAAACTCCAAAACAAAGACAAAAGTGTTACCAGTTTACTTCTTGACCATTGTCAGCCCATTGACATTGAAGCAATTACTCCTTTTTTTTTTAATTTCTAAAAAGCAAAACCTTAGGAATAGACTTTCAAATACCTGAAGACTTTGCATTTGAATGTTCACTTTGGAATCGAGCTGGATTTCTGAACCTTCTTTGCAGGTGAAATTCACCTTATACACTTTTTTAAGGTTTCTTTCCTGTTAGACCTGTTTAATGAGTCCAGAAGATTCTTCATTCTGAGGGTTATATCCATACAGTATGGCTTCAGTGGGGTTATTGCAAGGAAACTTTGCAATTTCCATTGCATGCTATGCAGAAGAGTCAGAAACAACCACAGCTGGCTTGGGGTCTGGGGACCCAAGAGTTTTTAGCTGACAGAAATAGACGGATGATATTGCAGAAGTTATTTTACAAAAGGATGTTAAAAGAATGACTGCAATTATGGGAAAATGGGTGTACCTTGACATTGATCCATCACACAGATATCTCACATGTCTAAATTTGCAGCCATGGTAGGAGATAAATAGTGCATCAGTGCTCATATTCTATGACTCCAAATGCTCTCAGTTTGTATGCCAGCTAAGTTAGAATTTACGTTTCTTAAATCACAGAATTCCTAAAGAAGGTTGTCCAAGTAAAAAAACTGGGGTTTTGTTTTGTTCTGTTTTCTTCTAGTAATATCAAGCATAAAAGAATCCTCAAATGATTGCAATAACATGTAAATATCACTAATAAAGAAAGAATGATGGAGAATCAACATTTAAATATTTCTACCCATTTATAGACAAGTCTATTTCCTAAATAAAGTACATGCACAGTAAAATATTCTAAACCACCAGTGCATATACATTCCACAATCCACAGAGGTTTAGCACAGGAGCACATGTAAACTACAAGAGAGGCTTGCATTTACATATTATCTGAAATCCCACTCTTAAAAAATGGTAAATTCCTAAGTGAACTTTTTAAATTTCAGAACAAGAAGCCAAAGACCAAACAGATGACACCAGGCCTATTTGTACACTGCTCACTGCAGTTGTTAGTGAACTTCAAACCTATATTTTCTATAGGTTTCCTTTAGGTTAAAAGATTTTAGAAGTGGTGTCACCAGCTAAGCACAAAGCACAGGTGTCATTGTACTAGCTTTTTAGTCTAAATAAACCAAGCTGTAAAATCAGGAAATAATCACCCTAGATATGAACCTTCAGAAGTCATCTCCTTTTGAGAAAAGGCTGAATAAATGCTTTCTCCATGCTGTATGCATTTTGCTTTCAATAGGGAAAAAAGTTTAAGCAAAACCAGGAAACTATGAATACTGCAGTATACAGAAGTTTAGAGACTTTTGAAGAATATATGCTCAGCTTATTTTTTATTTTTATTCCCATCTATTTTATTTTTAACATGACACCTATGCTAAAACAGTAAAGAAGATGCAAAGCCCTTCCTGGAAATTACAGTTGACTGCCAACACAAAAGAAACTTTTATATAAATACTATTCATCAACACAAACAGAAACACAGAGTAAAAAGACAGGTAAATTATGAATTATAGAGGCAGTTGTAAATTGGCATTCTCGTGTGGCTTGGGTTGGATGATTCTTCTGCTGGTAAGTTTTGTTATATGCAAAGCCTTGCTGTGAAAATCATTTAAGCAGTTTTGGTAACTGCAAAACTGCTATTTTCTGTCATGAATGACCAGCATTGTTTACAGACAACTGTCTCCAAGGAGCTTTGTATCTGTTTTCTGAAGGTCATTTGGAAAACATTTGAAATGTCCAATTTGTTTTTATTTTTCATTAAGTACTTTTGAGTGGGTTATGTAGGTGAAAATCTGGGTCACTTGGTGATAAAGTAGTGAGAAGAGAGCATAAATCTCCTATGAAAAGGAATTTGTTCTGTGAAATTTTGTTTGCTATATTTTCCCTAAATTAATTTTGAAGATCTATTTTTTCTGCTTCACACCACAAATTTTTAAACTGTCACAACGTGGCATACTTCCCATAATGGATGAAGCTGGAATACTGAGACAGCAGCATTTTCGTTAGTGCTGGATTGTGCTTTTGGAGGTATCGTTCTGATGCAGAACATGTCAGTAATATGGTAATGCAAAAGTCTTTCTGTCATTGTGGGTCAGTAAGAAATAACCCCATAAGTATTGTAATGAGAGCTGTGCTGGAGGCATTAAAATAGCACCACATCTTCATTCCTGTGTTTGTTAGTAATTGAAGTAAATGCCAGATTCACTTCAAGGTTTTTCTCCTGAGAAATTGCTTATTTCATCCTTTTACCATGCAGTTTCTGG